TCTGTTCAGGACATGTTGGAGAAAGGTTAGCTGACACTACAAACATGGCTTAAGAGTATCTGAAACGTAATTAACAGACATCTCAAAAAATGCATAAAGTGGGAGACAAATGTTATTTTTCAATCAGAATGAAAATAAAAATAATGTTTTTGAGAGTTTTCAAAGCTAACATACCTGTAATGTCTAGCCTGGTTATGTGAAAACTTCCACACGTTCGTGTGGTCAGCAACAATCTCTTGTGCTCTAGTGCACTCATACATTTGCACTGTTAGAGTAAATTAGACTTTTCTAGAAAACCATGCAGACATCCAGGTACAAAGAACAAAGAAAAGGTTTATTGCCAGTAAAGGGACCAGCAAGACCCCTTCCCACAAGAGGGAACAAGTGCTCGCTATTGTCTCCGGTGACCTGTAGAACCTCTGAGATTTTGGAAATCTTGCTGCTTTATATGGTCATAGCTATCCCAAAGGAGAGCTCTCTCGGTAAAGGGAGTAGGAGCTAATCATTTACTGCCTTTACTAGGAGGGTCAAGTGTTGCCTAGAGAAAGAACATGCCAAGCTATGAGAGAGGAGGCTATTGGGCTAACACTCACATTTGTGTATTTTGTTCCCACACAGATGCATCAAATGCATGGCAGAAAAATAAAGTAAAATTAGCCCTCAAAACCAGCAGAGGATACACATTCTCATGCTTCCTTCAGGTGTAAGAGCTTTGGAGAACAAGAGAAGAGAGTACATTTTTATGCAGCATTCTGAATTGGGATTAAATGCTATATAATCTCTCTTACCTCTAACAACTATGAGTATGTGGGTTTTCTTTATATGTAGTGTATATAAGTCATCAAATCTAAAATAACAGATCCACCGATTAAGTTTTCATCAATAATTTCACTTTTTCTCTGGTACAAGCGGGTCGACTGGTTGCAATCCAGCCAATGAATGGCCAATAACAGCTATCTGCAGCATCCTTATAAACAAAAAGATGTGACTTCATCTGCTTGCTAGCTGTAACAGCATACCTAAAGCTGAGTTGTTTACTTTAAAAAAAAAAAAAAGGATTGATTTTTGGCTCATACTTTTGGAGTTGAGAAAGTTTAAGAGTATGATATTTTCAGCTTCAGGTGAGGGCCACATCATAGGAAACCAGAAAGAAGAGCACAAGAGAGCATGTGAGGAGAGGTTATAGGCTGGCTTTGGAACAGAACACTGTCATCTTAACTAATCCAGTCCCTGAAGACCGAACTTCTTCCCAGTGATCTAGCCCATTTCTTAAAGGCCCTACCATTTTTCATTAACATGATATCGGGAATCAAATTTCAGCATGAGTTTTGGCAGGAAACCCACACTCAAACCACAGCACGACAGAAAATAGTACAGGAGAAGTAAATATAAGATTGAGTGCTGAAATGCAAATGAATAGGAAGTTCAATTATAAAGAAGCTGGCTCTAACAGAAGTATCTATTTTACTTCATTTCTGACAACAAAGAAGAAAGGAAGTAGAAAAGATGGAATAATATCAAGACCATTGCCAAAGATTAACTTAACCCTCCAAGAATGAAACATAATCCAAGAGGCCCTCAGAAAAACACTTGTCTTTACAGAGAACTGTGATGTATTCATGTACTTACTTAGTTAAGTGAAATCTATTTTATAAAGCAAGAAACTCCTCAAAGAGGTCACAGATTTATCGTGATGTTAAAAGTCATAAAAATTATAGTTACAGGCTAAGTAGTTAAATTGAAATTACATACCACCCCATTAATTTTATAATCAATAAAGATAAAGGCAATGAAGAAGTAAATGATAGGAACCCAGCTTAAATCAAATCAATACATATTTATTGGCATTTATGACACAGAAGATACCATGATGTAGAAAGGTCAACATGATGCCATCTTCTATCTTTAAGGAGCTTATCATCTGGCTTGGGAAGTTGACATGTGGCCCGCAGAAATTTATCTCTACAGCAGCAACAATACAAAGGTTCATCCAAGTAATGGCCAACAGAACCATATATAAGCGTGTGTTAGAGCAGTGATGAAGAGCGTGGGCTCTGAGGAAGAGTTTCCAGGTTTTGAGTAGCAACTCTACCACGGCTATGTCATTGAGTTGGAAGCAGTTGTGTGTGTGTCCATGGGGATAAAACAGGACCTTCGGATAGGCTGAGTCTGAGAATTTAATGAGTTAATAATTTCCAAGTGCTTACAAACAAGGCTTTGCCTGGATGAGTGTAATGTAACTTCTAAGTAAGGTAAACACAATTGAAAGAAATAAAAACTCATCATAACCCTGGAAGAAGCTGAATAGTAATGGAAGGCATGTTCTTTTTCCGTTTCCACTGATTCATTTCCCCCTAAGGTCTTAATTGTTAGGAAAATTTTAAATGATAGTCACTTGTTGACCTGCTGTGGAAAGTTCATCTCTCCTTCTTTGCAGGAATAAACTATTAAAAAATTCTTCTTTAGGTCAGTTCAATTAGTTCTTGTTCACAATTATCATTCTTTTTTTTTTTTTTTTAGTTTTTTTTTTTTTTTTATTGTGAGAACACCATACAGAGGAGTTACAATTTCATGGGCAAGATAACGAGTTCATTTCTTATAAAGCATTGTACAATTATCATTCTTCTACCACTCCAAACCTATCATTTTACAGAAAGTGCTAAAAATAGCCTAATACACAAATTCAATTTTTTAGCGATCAGTACTTAACCATTCTGTCATCAAATTTTTCTTTTTTTTTGGCTCTGCCACTGTCATCAGAATGTTGACTTTTGGAAGCAAGAAACTTACACATGTATCTTTTAGTACTCAGTAGCATGCCAGAAACTAAATTATTTTATTAATCTCCCCTTTCTACTTGTGAGAGCTCACCTTCTAACATCATTTCACAAATCCCTATCCCTAGTATATACATAGCATCTAATTCCCTCCTCTTGATCACAGGGAGGGCACTGATAGGAAATTCCATTCTGTGATTAGGCCATCATTTGTAACTAAAGAAAAAGGACTTAATAAGAGTAATTAAATCCCCCCCAAATTCAATGACTTCCAGTGAAACAAATATTACTTTGAGCAGATCTAACATAATGAGGTGAGCACTCAAAAGGAACAGGATAGTTTTTCTTCCTGAAGAAATCCAAAGCTTAAAAGAAATCTTACTGCTGGCTATAAAAACAAAAATAATTAAAAATAAAAATAAAGTAAGGTTTCTTGCTGTGAGAAGGCTTAAGGAAACAGCCATGTGCTGGCAGAGACATGACAGTAGCTTCTGTGAGCTCAGAGTAACTACTGGCCAACAGCCAACAAGACAATGAAGACTTCTATCATACAACCAGAAGGAAATAGATTCTACCAATAGGAAGGAGCTTAGTAGTGGCTTCTTCCCCAATCAAGACTCCAAGTAAGATTACATACCAAGCCCATACTTAGCTGTCTTAGGGATCCTTAGATAAAATATGCCAGCAGCTAGCCTATGGAAATAATGAGATAACACATTTGTGTTAGCATTTGATCTCTCTCTTCTCTCCTCTCTCCTCTGCCTCTCCCTCTTCCTCTGTCTCTCTGTCTCTGTCTGTCTGTCTCTCTGTGCCAGTACTGGGGCTTGAATTCAGGGCCTTGTACCCTCACTTGGCTTTTTCCATTAAGGCTAACTCTTTATCTCTTGAGCCATACCTTCACTTCTAGCTTTTTGCTCCTTCATTAAGAGATAGGAGTTGCTGGGCTTTTCCTGCACAAGCTGGCTTCAAACTGGGTCCTTAGAGCCCAGCTCCTGAGTAGCTAGGATTACAGGTATGTGCAACTGGTATCTGGTCACATTTGTTTTAAGCCACTAAGTTTGTGGTCATTTGCTGGACAGCTATAGAAATCTAATGTCTATTTGCTTAATTCCCTGTCTTCTAGTCTTCTCTGGTTCTTATCTTTGCTAGCACCAATGTGTGTTATTTGTTCCTTGAGTCTCTTTTTTTTCTGTCACAGAGCTCTCCAAAAGGATTACTAAGTCACTTTATTAAGCATCTGCTTGTGGCTATTTCTAGCTTGCTAGACTATTCTCTTTACATTAATGTTTTACTTCCTATTGCCTGCTTGTCAGCTTCATGTGGGGACTATAAAACACCTCCCTTGATATATACAAAATCACTTAACTAGTCCAGTCTGTTGGCAGCACCTCCATTTTCCACTCAGTCTGCAAGCATCACTGGAGACTCTTAGCCTCAGAATCAGGAGCCAAATCACGTTGGTTTTTAACAACAGATACCATTCAAGGCATCTTTTGCTACTTCCAATGAAAATTCGGCCTTTCAGTATTACTCATGAAATCTTTTATTGGAGTTGATTAAATTTTTCAAAATCTGTAACTTGCTATAGCCTCACATAGAATCTCAAAATGCAGCACAAGTAAGTTTCAAATCTCAGTTCTACCACTTATCTGCAATGGCTTGAACATATTTTTCACACATATTTTTTAGTGCCTTTGAACCATAGTTTCCTCATCTGATTATTAGGGAAGGTGGTATCTATTCCACAGGGCTGATTTAAGAGTTATATAAAAAGCAATCTAAGCCAGGCACCAGTGGCTCATACCTGTAATCCTAGCTACTTAGGAGGTTGAGATCTGAAGATCATGGTTCAAGGCCAGCATGGGGAGGGAAGTCCGTGAAACTCTTATCTCCAATAAACCACCAGAAAACTGGAAATGATGCTGTGGCTCAAGTGGTAGAGTGCTCACCTTGAGCTGAAGAGCGCAGGGAGTTCAAGCCTATGACCAAAAAAAAGCGCAATCCAGTAAACAGTAGCTGTTCTAATTATTGCTTAGATATTGGTAACAGAATCAGTGTGACTTGTCTTCACTCTCAACAAAAGATATTCCACCCATTCTAAGCCTCTGCCTTAAAAGGCTTCTGCTCAACACTCTTAGATATGGCTCTGAGTATCAGGGTATTATGTAGGAATAAGGACCCTAACTCAAAAGGAACTTGGCTAGCTCACCTTAGAGTGCTCACCTTGAGCTGAAGAGTTCAAGCCCCACAACCGACCAAACAAAAAAACAAACACATTTTTTACAAGGAACTTGGCAAGGCAAAATTTACTTCTGCAAAAGGGTGTGCCATCAGCCAAAAATCTGGCAAGCAAGCATTCGGAGCAGGCAGACCCCTAGAGCGGAAGGCCCTCCCCTCTGCTCCAATTGGCTAAGCTCAGGTTCACTGCTTGTGTCTGGCTTGTTTGAAGAGGGTAGGATGTCTTAATGACTCACACCCTCTGCTACTTTTGTTCAATGACTTGAAGTGTATCTTAATTATTCACATCCTAGGCTATTACTTACTTGTTGATATTGTCTTAACACAATAATCAATGAGAGTCTAGCCACCTGGCCAACAGAGGAACTTTTAAGCAAACCACTGATAGAAAAGACAACAGCTTTTCTCACATCCCTCTGTGAGGTTCTGATGGCCTTGAGAAGAGCCGGCACCAGGCAATCAGGAAGCCAGCATCCAATGCACTACAGAAGCAAAACATGAGACTCAGTGACTACCATGGCCTGGAGACCTATAGCAAGAAGGCGGCCCCGTTGTTTCTCAATGCATCAGGACACAATGAGATTGTTGCAGTGCACACACTAAGTTCATCTAAAAATTATTATTTTTTCATTCACTGCTACTTATTAGCACCTGGTTCCATTGTTGACACTGAGAGGTTATTTTCTAAAACAAACATTAGCTTTGTTATCTTTCTGAAAGGAAGAACTAGAGACACTTAATATATATAAACCTCTTTCTGACTTCCACCTTACAAATTCTGAATAGAATAGACTTCTTATTTGATGTGTCTTACATCTGAATCATATACAGCCTATCTTATTTTGGTGTAGTTTCTGTGACTCAAGGGCTGTATTGGTTTTCCACCATGAGCTGCCTCCTTCACGTTATTTTATTTTTACAAATTGCATTAGCTAAAGCATGCTGTATTTGATTTTCTTCTATCCTTATCATCCCAGTGGCCACAGCACACTCCTCACCATATTTTTATAAATCACATCTAGTATGTTTTTACGCTTCTGTTTCCTGCTCTTATCTCAATCAAGTGAAGATAAGTTACCAACGTTCTGATGATGCTACGCTTCCACTGAACGTTGTGGCATTTCATCTATAAAAGGTTTTGACGTATATGCCGAATCAAAAATTCATTGCCATCATTTCTAGAAGTTTTCATGTTCTGAGATGAAGCCAATAGTTTCTAGAGCAATGGGTTTCAGGGCAGCAATAATTTTCAGCTTCCTTAAAGCAAGGCTTCCTTTGCTCATAAAGTCCTGGTTCTCTTGAAATTTTTAGTATTTAATCTCATAACTTCAAAGAATACTACTGCTGATTACTACCATTGTCACCTCTACATTCAGCATACTTGCTGGAAAAAGTTCCTTTAAGATGTTGGCCTGGAGATTTAGTGTTTAAGCCTTCTTGGCCAACTGATTAACAAGGAACAGTTATGTCAGAGGGTAGAAACTTCCAACGTAAAAACCTCTGTTGATTCTGATGTCAATGTGGCATAAGAGCTGCTGGCCTCATCTTTGGTGGACATCACCCTCCAGGCCATTTTCCAAACTCAAACACAGAGCAATCACACCTGAGTCCCTTATTTCCTGAGTGCTCAGTTCATACCCAGTGCCTGGCCTTTCATCCTTCTCCACATAAGCTGCCTCTCACACCCACCCTTCTGGGGTGCGTGTGTGATTTCTAATACTCAGTCTTCTCCTGGCACCTTTTAATTTCACCCCGAGACAGAATTAACTGTTGTGTGTGGCTTATGTATGTGGCCCCTTGCCAACTTGTGTGTGTGCGCGTGCGTGTGTGTGTGTGTTGGTGCTTGAAATGAGGCATTCTACTTGAGCCACAGCTCCACATCTGGTATTGTGGTTGTTGATTGAAGGTAAGAGTTTCAGGGACTCTCTGCCCCCTGCTGACTTCATATCTCAGCCTCCTGAGTAACCCCTTGACTACTTTTATTAGGGGAAGTGAAATATACTGTTAATACATGTCTCTTCGCTCCTTAAAGGTAAGGCTGAGATTAGTTCCACAGGTGGAAGGTGCTGGGAAATGAATTGAATCTCATTTGAATAAGAGAAAAATCTAAATAGCTATTATTAAGGAAAAGGATGGAGCTCTGGGAGGAAATGAATATAAACATGAATCTGTGTGGGTAATCTACATTATGTTCATAGCATACTAAGTACAAATGACTATGGTAGTCAAATATATCTCTAAAATACTTCATCTTCACAGACAGGCTTTTTTCCCCCAAGTTTGTGAGGATGGTTTATTAGGTCTTCATAAGCAAGAAACTACTGGTAGAGTGCAGGTCATTGTATAAATAAATACAACTGAATTTTCACGAACCAACCATGAAGGATCATAGGATCTTTAATAGTCTCTTTTGGAAATCAATAGCGTCTAGCTCACACAGCTTGCACAGTTCTACTGGGAATGGCATTTGTTACAGAAATGAAATTAATGTGTTAATGAAACACCAATGTGCCTTTATAGCATTTTGTCACAAAATCACATTACCTATATTCATATTTGATATTTTTCAAATGTATTTTTTCTTTGAAGCTAGTCCAGGTAGATACATAGGACTCATTTTCTGTAAAAGGCCAGAATTAAGAGGCATGGCTCCAGTGATATAGCATCAGCCATGAGCAAAACAGGTAAGCTAGACTGTAAGGCCTCAAGTTTAAGCTCCAGTATTGGTTATATATATATATATGTGTGTGTGTGTGTGTGTGTGTGTGTGTGTGTGTGTGTGTGTATGTGTGTGTGTGTGTGTGTGTATATATATATATATATATATATATATATATACGGACACATATATGTATTTTATTTATGTCAAGATGGTTGAAGACACTTGCTGGAAGAATTGTCAAACAAGTCACTGGTGGTTTATTCTTTATTTTACTGTGATAAGAACCCTTCACATGTATCTTATCCTCTTACAAGTTTAAGCAGAACACAATATTCTTGACTATAGGCACAATACCACACAGGCAATCTCTAGAATGTAATCATCCTGCATATTTGAGAGTTAAACTGTTTATAAACAGCAACTTCCTGATCATCCCTTCCCACAGCTGCGGGGAACCACAAAATAAAATTCTACATTGTTTCTTCTTTTGACTATCCTAAAAACATTATATAAACTGACTCATGGAAGTATTAGCTTCTTCAAGTATGTGGTTTCATTTCCTGCAATGTCCTTCAGGTTTATCCATGATATTTTTAAGGAAATTTTTCTTCTTTCATTAAAGGTGAGTAATATTTCCATGTTCTAGTCACCATATTGTCTTTTAACAAGTTATCCATGCATAAACATCTAGGTTCTTTCTATATTTTAGACTGCATCGTATCTCAGTAACACAGCAATGCCAATCTATCTTCCAGATCCCAATTTCAATTAGTTAAATTTAAGTAGCCAGAAGCAGGATTGATAAATCATACAGTGTTCTATTTCTAAATCTTCAGAAAATCCCAGCTGTTTTCCATAGTGGCTGCAACATTTTGCATTCCCATCAACATGGTAAAAGTCTTCTCCGAGAGCTTTTCTTTATGTTCACCAGCATCATCTTCTTATTTCCAGTACTCAAAGAGGTGTGAAGTATTAGATTATGGTGTGATTTGATTTGCATTTCCTTGATGGTCGGTGGTGTTGAGCATTTTTCATATTTATGCTGATCATATATATGCATTCATTGAAAAAGATCTATTATCATTTGTAAAATTAGCTTACTTGGGTGCCTTTTGTTTACTTTTGGGATTGAGTTGTAAGAGCAGTTGGAGTTTTCTAATACTAATCCCTCATCAGATACGTGGTTTATATACATTTCTTCCTTTTTTGACTTTTACTTGACTTTTACTCCGCCAATTTGCTATGCAGAAGGCTGTTAGTGTGATGCACTCCCATTTCTCTACTTTTGCTTCTGTTCTCTATGTTGTAACCATATATATTATACATATTTGTCTAAGTCCATGTCACAAAGACTTCTCCATATGTTTTCTTCTAGGAGGTTTACAGATTCAAGTGTTATATCTAAATTTGAAGCCCATTTTAAGTTATTTTGATTTTTGTGTATGGAATCATTTAAAGAAGATGATTCCTTAACTTAAAATTAACCAATTGTTTTAATGACAGGTGGTGGCTACTCTGTATTTCATCTATACCATCGGAGTCAACATTTGCACCTTTCTTTGGGAATCTTTTGCTATTTCAGCCCCTCTGTCTACTTCTCAGTATTATTTTCCCTTCTAAATTTCTACTGACAGCAAAATTGCAAAGTAAATCTATATACATACAACCAGAAAGACTGCAGAAAACTATAAGAAAAATGGGCAAATTGCATGCCCAGCAGTAAATCAAAACTATCTTAAATTGGAGATCATGTTAATAGAAATAGATCAGACTCTAAATGGCATCAAACTCTGAGTGCTTTCTCTCATTCACAGAATCTAGATTTTTAAAAAATAGTGGAAGTAGAAGAAGAAGGGCCTATTTGGGAAGAGAATAAGAAATCAGTGGGAATACACAGAGATATGAGAGTACATGTGAATTAAATCAAAATTTATTACATGCATACATGAAAAATGACACAATGAAGAGCCCAGTGCTTGTGGTTTATGCCTATAATCCTAGTTGAGGAGGCTGAGATCTGGCAATTATGTTCTTTTTTTAAATTTTATTATTTTTTTTTGTGAACATACTGTACAGAGGGGTTACAATTACATGGGCAGGATAATGCATACATTTCTTATCAAGCATTGCAGCCTCCTCCTTTGTTTACCCTTCACATCCCTTCCCAGCCTCCCCCCCCCACCCCCCCACCCAATCCTCCACCCCCCCTCCCTGCACCAACGTTGTAAAGCTTGTTTTCGACATGACAACTTGTACTTCTCATTGTTGCAACAGGTCCACCTGTATCCTTAAAAGACTTGTTTTTCCCCATCTCCTCCACAACTTATACTGTCAACAAATACAGTGAAAGCAGGGGTTATACTGTGGGGGAGGGACATACAAAGAACAAAGAGATAATCTTATAAATGCGTTAGAAACAAATGCATGAAAGAATAAAACATTAAAATACATATCTAAGGGTTCATTTTCCTAACATCACATTATCTGACCTTTTCTGCTTGACTCATACTTATACTAGATATTGCAAATAAGGGAAACCATGGGACCTATGTTTCTTTGGGCCTGGCTTACTTCACTTAATATAATTTTTCCAAGTTTTTCCATTTCCTAACAAATGGGGCAATGTCATTCTTTCTGATAGAGGCATAGAATTCCATTGTGTATATATAGCACATTTTCTTGATCCATTCATCTACAGAGGGGCATCTGGGTTGGTTCCATATCTTAGCTATGGTAAATAATGCTGCAATAAACATAGTTGTGCTGGTAGCTTTAGTGTGGTCTTGTTTGTAAACATTTGGGTAAATGCCCAAAAATGGGATTGCTGGGTCATAGGGGAGCTCTATGTGAAGTCTTTTGAGACACCTCCATACTGCTTTCCAAAGTGGTTGAACAAGTTTACATTCCCACCAACAATGAAGTAAGGTTCCCTTCTGTCCACATCCTCTCCAGCATCTGTTGTTGTTAGAGTTCTTGATTTTTGCCACTCTAACTGAAGTGAGGTGGTATCTCAATGTTGTTTTGATTTGCATTTCTTTTATGGCTAGGGATGTTGAGCATTTCTTCATGTGTCTATTGGCCATCCTTCTCTGGCAATTATGTTCTGAAGCCAGCTCAGGGCAGAAAAGTCCATGAGACTCATCTCCAATTGGTTATCAAAAGTCAGAAGTGGAGGTATGGCTCAAGTAGTAGAGAATCAGCTTTGAGCAAAAGAATTCAAGTTAGATCATGAGGTGCTGAGTATAAGCCCCAGTACTGACATAAAGAAGAAAAGTAGCCAGGTACCAGTGGCTCACACCTGTAATCCTAGCTACTTAGAAGGCTGAGATCTGAGGATCACGGTTCAAAGACAATCTGGCAGGAAACTCCTTGACACTCTTATCTCCAATTAACCACCAGAAAACCGGAAGTGACACTGTGGCTCAAGTGGTAGAGCACCTGCCTTGAGCTGAAGAGCTGAGGACAGCACCCAGGCCCAGATTTCAAGCCAAAAGAAAGAAAGGAAGAAAGAAAGAAAGAGAGAGCGAGAGAGAGAGGGAGAGAAAGGAAGAGAGAGAGAAAGAAGGAAGGAAGGAAGGAAAAAAGAGAGAGGGAGGGAGGGAGGGAAGGAAAGAAAGACCCCTATAATATTGTATAATTCATCTATGATTTACAAAAGTATCTAGGAATTGTACCATTCTTTTCCAGACTACTCTTCTTCCCCCTTTTCTCCCTCATCTTGGTGGGATGACTGGTAGAGAAAGTACATGATCAATAAATTCCGAGGTTTTTGTCTATCTCCATAGGGTAAGGGAATGAATGACCTGCCCTCTGGAGGAGGAGTCACATTTCCTTGCCACTAGAAACGCGCTGCCTGATGCAAATTACTATGTCTCTATTTCAGGTATTAGTTAGCAAATTAGAACTCTTCCTCCTTAAACCATTTTCTTTAATGCTGTGACAGACTTATAGTTGTATTACTCTTGATAAATGCTTCATCCTAAGGAGATATCAGTAGGAATAATTTCTCTCCAATTTATGCTTGTGTTTTACCAGTTAATTATTTTGAAATATTTTACACTATATTGCTGTCTCCTATTAAAGAAAAAAAAATGTCTTTAATTCTGCCCTCCCCCACTCCTGCCCACTATCCTGTCAGATTTTACATTTTGGGGTGTCATTTTTTTTTAAATGACATTTTACTAACTGAAACATTCATAGTTAAACCAAAAGAAAGAGGTACTATTTGCAGGAATGTTCTCCTTTGGAATATATATCACAGGTTTCCTTTTCCAGTTTATTTTACATTGCCTCCAACCAAATAAATCTGAGATTAAAATACAAAGTGTCCTTTGCTTTATATTCTATGTAACCAACCAGGTAATTTATACAGTGCGTGATGAAACTATACTGATGGGACAGAATCAATGGCATAGAAGGAAAACAGTCATCCATCACAGGACCACCTCGTATCAATCAGTGGGCAGCAGAGGAGACCAAACATGGGCCACGGCAAGCCATCAGCATGCACGCGCTTTCCTCTGTGAATTCTGCTGAAACATAGGTTATCCTGTTCATGGTAGCCTGCGGCCAAAGCCCAGGGGGAATAACTGCAAACCATAAACTTCTTGTTCTTTAACATTCTTTAACATTCCTAACAGGTAAAGAATGTCAATAGAGCTACCAGCATTTCCAGGGACTCTGACTTGTAAATACCTTTACTGGAGTAGATTCTGCAGTGAAAAATCCAGACAGGATGGTAAGGCAGTTTCTCACACCCCTCTTGATGATGCAGTATTGGGGAATTATATACTTCATGATGTGATGAAAATGATTTTTTTAACCTCCGACTTGGTTTATGAAGAATAGTGCCCATGCATGGTAAAGTAAAATTTCATTTACATAGATGACGAAGCGAGAAGACTAATACCTTCAGGACCTATCAAAGCTGGTAATTCATCAATTGGGTCCTTTTCAAAATGGATATAAATGCCACACCAAGCTATTTTAATGCAATGTTCTCTCAGAAATGTACACTGTGTACTAGGCACGTGGACTACAATGAGTGAAATTGACAAAAATTCCCTACTATTGTATAGTTTATATTCTAATCAGTGTGGTTTATATATTCTAATAAGTGCATTTTATTCATCTTTAAAGATCTAAGCCAAAGGATTTATACTTTCTTTTCTAAAGCATTAGATACTGTCAGTAACTCAGTTCAAATTTCATTTCCCTAAATAGGGCCACTATATGTATGTATGTGGGGGAGGGGGGGGGAAGGTTGTTCCTCAGTAACAGGGCTTTAACCTCAGGATCTCACACTCAGCTTTGCTCATGACTGGTGCTATACCACTTGAGCCATGCCTCCAGTGGCTCCAGGGCATAGATTTGTAAAATTCAACCGCCTTCAGAAAATATTTGCCTAATATCTGAGAAAGAAGAACAGGTGGAAGTCTCTTTCGGCTAATTACTTCACACAAGTTCTGGTGGGAGTGAAACTGCATGGGACTATCACTTTCAAACGTCAAAGTAGAAATAAAGTAAGCCATCTTCTTTTAGTTTGCTTTTCTCCCTGGTATTTGTTTCATCGCGTTCCTCGTTTGTAAATAAGGCCCATGAAAATCTCAAGTTCCGTGCAGCAGTCTTAAAAATTTTGCAAAGTGGCGAACAAAATGAGAGCTTATCCTTTAAAAACCCATCATTGATGTTTTTGATCAATAGTTGGCATCAATAAACCTTAGACATGTGGCCAAGACTGTTGGAGCCAGGCAAGGGTTTTTCTTAATTTGGATACTGATGTCACTGAGACAAAGAAAAGTGGGGTTGATTTGCAATAAAAGGGAAGTGATTATACAATCCATTCAGACCGTAAATAAACACTCCATTAAGTTATAAAGCTCCCTCCCTCTATATGTTCTTAGGAGGTTTTCCTGCCAGCCACTTAAGAGAATAAAAGAAAGCACTAATAATTTATTCAGCCAAAAGTGACTGAGTTCCTATTCTATGATCAGCACAAACTACCAAATCCTGAAATTCACTGTGCTCAGGGGTTGCTTACATCATCTTACTTCATCAATAAGCAACTCAGTAAGCCAAGTGTTGCAGTAATCCTCAAATTAGATAAATTTTAGAGAAATGATGTGAGTTTGTTATCTGAGAGTAGCTGCTGCTCTACTTAGTCTGTTGTCTAAACCATTCCATTCAACTGTTTTCAGATTCATTGCTCAGAATTATTTGCATCATTACCTAATATTTCTGGATAAACAAGGATTTTAAACATTTTGTACTGAATGGCTAAAGTTCAGAAGTTAGTCTGTTTCCCATATGACTTAGAAGTAGGGATGAAAACAGAATAGATTTTGATATCATATTAATTCTAAATTCCATGCAGAATTGTGAATAAAGTGACAATAATTACACAGCAGTTAACACTTGTGGAGTCCTCCTATATCCTTAAAAATTCTAATCACTATAAATGTGCAAACTCCCTTAATCTATACAACTTAGTGGGTCCTATCCTTCCCATATTACAGGTGTACAAGTGTAATATAGTGAAGAAACTTTGCTCAAGGTTCACAGCTAATAAGGATCAGGGAAAGGATTTAATCTAAATTTGCACATCTCTAAACCCTGGGTTTTAACTACACTATTCTGTCTTTTAATGTCAATTGAAGGAACAAAGGAAGGAGCCCTTAGTTGAAATTTTCTCAAACCCAAGCCATGCTTTGCGACTTGGAGTTTATCAGGCTGGTTCTGTGAATACATAGTCTTCCTTCTCCCCAGCAAGCTGCTCCTTCCGATCAGCAGTTGTGTGTTTAATTCTATTATTCTCCCTAGCATCTATGATGATACAGTGATTGTAACACACAGTCAACAAAAAAAAAAATGTATATAGGAGATCTATATGCCACATGTATGGTTTATATACTGCTGTCCACCAACGTTCTAATCTTTTACTTCCTCCCATCACTCACATTGCCATTCTCACCCTTGCTTCCTATTTGTAGCCCTATGACTTTTCACACCTAATCACAGCAGTTGCCTAAAGGTTCTGCCTAGGCGGGCGCCCTCAAATTCCATTTCATACAGTTAAGAATTTAGTTTATTAATGAGTCAAAGACTTCTTAAACATGGATCCTGAGCTTCTCTGAGTGATGCCCAAATCATGTCGTTGTCCTGGGCCAGCTTGTCCTCATTCAAATTCCAGACAAGCAATGGAACTCTTGCTAGTCATCTACCTACCTGCTTCCAAGACTACAGCTTCTGTCAACTAAGGAGAAATGTGTCTCATTATACTTTTATAGCATGTTATTCCACACGTCTTGCTCCTTCTCTCTGCATAGAAGATGTCATATATATATAATATCATTTATACATTATAATCTTAACTTTTTAAAAGAAGTTTAGGCATGTCAAATAACTATGTCAAATAATAACAGAGACCACATGTGTCATGATTCCTATGTGCCAAGTCCTCTAGCTCAAAGATTACTTGCATTGCCACTGAGTCTCTCAGCAATCCAGTAAGGAAGGTACTGCTGCTGTGTTATCTTGAGGATGTTCAACCCACAGTCATAGAGAATATGAACTCATTTACAACAAAATCCCAGCCCAAGCTATACTGCTCAAAGATTCTCTAAAAATAAACTGGTAAAAAAATTTATGTAACTCTGGAATAATTTTTCTCTTGACATTACTATTTTTACAATATTCAATGAGGGGATGACAAAACTCTAGAATGTATCATCTGAGTGTTTTTACTGAGGCAGGCTTTCTCTCCCAGAAATGCTATCCTGGTCTATCTCTACAATTTTTCAGCGTAGTGAACTTGACCTACATGTAGATAAAGCAGAATTGTAGGTGATACTAAGAATTCAAGATGCTTTGTTCTTTATACTGGACTATGATTCTGATACCCTAATAAATCATAACCCAGCACCAGCATTCATCATGAGCTTCTTCCAAGAAATTACCAGTTAAAAGGAGTCACCTTTTCTTAGAAATCTGCAAAATCATCCCCTTGGTTTCCACTGTTGTTCTCAGAACTTACTGTTAAACATTTTCAAAGTCCAAAACATAAGGCAGAACTGTCTTACATCTGCCTAATTATAACAGGTAGAAAAGCAATAAATGAATAAATGGTTATTTTATACCAAAAGAATCTACCTGTGACTATGTTACCAACATCTGATTGTACTACTGAAACTTTTACCAAGTCTTTTGTTTTCTAATAATATATGAATGCGGAGAGTTTATTCACCAAACTGCGGAGAGTTTATTCACTAAACTATCAAGTTCCTAAAAAGTTCTCATAACTATTGAGAAGTGAACATATTCTTCTTGTAAGTATTTTCATGGGTACAAAAGGCAGCCTCACTTTTAACAATGACATAGTTCACTAAAACACTTAAAATGTGAGCTAAGGACTGGGAAGGTGGC